AACATAAGGCAGGGACAGTGTAAGACATACTGTAGAGTGAATTAATTATTGTATTGGAATGTATAAAAACTGTCCACTTACATTGAAAAAAGTCTGAAATATTCTTATTTATAACCAAGACACTGCAAGATAATCTTTATTAATTCAGTTGCTACAGCATCAAAGGAGTAAACAGCAACAAGATAGGGGACTTCTAGTCCACACTCAGATGTTCCTACACTATCCCAGCCACTTGGTTGTGCCTCTTGATGTACGCTGTCCCAGCTTGCACCTTAGATCCTGCCACTATGTGTGTTGGACTGTCTCAGGGGACTCTTTGCACAGCCTGCACCGGGGGGTCCTGGCTACCATGGTAGACTCCTGCTTCCATGGATCTGGTGTTGAGGGCCCGTTCTTGTGCTGCTATGATCAAGGTCTTCATGCTGTCCTTCAGGCCAGCCTTTTCAAGCCACTGGTAGGATTTCTTGATGTCAGCCTTTTCCTGTATCTGCCAATGGTGTATTCCATGGAGGGGTTTGGTCTTCCATAATATTTCCTCTTTCTCCTCATCACCCTCTGTCTTCTGCTGCCTGAGGCGCTCTCTGAGCAGGTCATCCTGGGGGGCATCTTCCTGATGTATTCTTGTATGCTCTTTGTTTAATACTAAATCGTGGCTTGGACAATCACTAATCCTCACCCTCCATCTTTTCACTGCTCATATTGTCTGGCATTGTGCTGGCATTGTGAGGAATTTTTGTGTCATGTGTGACATCAGCAGCATCTATGTATGATTCTGATTATACATAATGCATACAATTTATATAACATATAAATATTATATTGTATACACATTAGACATTAGTCATAGTTATACTGTGCAATTGTCATTTATGTCTATCATTGTACTGTGTACTATGTCATTATCTGTATCATATGTATCATATCATACAGACTAATATAATGTGTTGCACAGTATACGTATGTCCGTATGACTAATGTGTTTATAGTATAATTTAAACAATATAATACACACATATATATAATGCATAAACAATAAAATGTTGTAAAATATAGTATATTAAATGTATGAATATATTTCCCTTGCACACAGAGATGTTTCATACAGTCATCATCTAACATAAACATTACTTAAAATCAAACTGTATCCTGTGTGTGACGGTGACGCTGTCGCCCCCTGCTGGTCCCTGTAGGTAGCAGCAGGTAAAGGCGTGGCCAGTCATATTTGTGGCAGTTACCTGAGAGCGAAGGAGATTAAAGGACGCTGCTGTAAGTACAGGAAAACACTTGACAAATATTAATTTATTTTATCACTTCCAAAACGTTTCAAATACAATGTCTTATGTATTACAGGGCGGCGTCCACCTTAATCTACACATAAGGTACGTTTACTTTCGTTTGTTTAATTGTGCATGCACCTGTTGTACTCTCCGCACTTGCATTTGTATCCTTAAAATTAAACATGATGCCATCCCAGCATGACACAATACAGTAGTTATTTGTAAATGTAGTTAGTCATTTTAAAATGGATTCACATCTGTGGGTTTAATGTGTAATCCAGAATGTGTGATCTTCAAAACGACCTTTGTTTGCTTTGGGTGAGAAGGATGACTTCACCTCTTTGTTATGACAGTATGGCAAAGGACTATAGGCTATCACATGATTAATACTCAAAAACTGTCCTCTGGGGATTATTCTAGAGCCTAAACTGTGATTATATTGTTACGGCTCACACATTTAAGGCAGTATTTTAATTGTATTCATGTCATCAAATTGGCATAAACACTGTAAAGCTAAATCTATATAATTAAACATCTTTCTGCACTTTAACAAATATCTAAAAGTTGAATATTTGGGGTCTGTAATGTTATATTTCTTCTTGTTGAGATAAAAAGGGCAGTTTGATTGATTTGAGTTATGGAAATGGTGCATTTGCATCAAGGCACATGAGTGCAGGTACAGCAGGAACTGGTCTGAGGACAGGTGCACGTAGGAGGGAACACACCTGATCGTTGGGGCATATAACAAGTCATAAATCTTGTAATAAAGGGAGATTAAAATGCACAGTGTCTTGTATTAACTAGTTCACACAGGGGGGAACTTAAACTTAATCTTAAACTTAGTTTGGTTGAAGTAAACAGTAGTAAGTGAGCTACAACTGTTGGACTTAATCCAACAGGTGATGTCATCTCTTCAAACCTGGGAGAGCCTGTTTTATCAACCTGGATCTTCTCCCCGGTAACACAGCCGCCACCTATCCTGGTCAAGTGACCCAGTATTTACACAGCCTGTTTATGAACGTTGGGAGTCAAGCAGAGATCAACACTTTCAAACCATGGGGCCTTTATCTATCGTGCATGGCCGATGAAGACGTGTACTGATATGACTTATTTGAATAATACTGGTTTCTCCTCTCAGAAAACAACATGGTGGAACAAACAAGGCAGCAGAGTCGTGTCGTGTCCCTCCAGGCTGGACCTGGTGAGGTGGACACTGACACCCTGTTTGACATGAACCTCAGGTACAGTACGGACCCTTCCCCACACAGCAGTCATAACAACATACAGCTCAGACAGACTGTGCTTCAGGCAGCAGACGATGTGGGACCAGTTGTACTAAAAGACGACAAATCCTTATGTCTGGTTTCTCCTTTAGGATCAATGACAGGGCTGCACAGGCCTTTGGGCGCCAGTTGGCTGTAATTGGAGACCAGCTGAACGGGGAGTGGGCGAGCAGACAGCCAAACTGGTTACCAACTCCTCTTCACATGCTGAGACCCGCTCAGGCACTCACCAGGACCATATATCGGTATAAAATCAGAAAAAAACTCAAATATCTTTATAGCTTTAATGTGACTGGCTAAGACTCTGTACCCTGGTGGTGTTCTCTTCCAGGGACGTACGCAGTCAGTTGTGGGGCCTCCAGGGCCTGTCTGCTGCAGTGAAGGCCTGGATAGCGAGCACTGCACCTGGGAAGGGGATCCTCAGAGCTGACGCCTGGGCCGCCTGGGTAACACTCATTCTCTGACTTGATATCTGAGTCTCAGTGACCTTTCGTTATTACTGCGTAGTAATAAACATAATTGATACACATGCAAAAAAATCCCTTTAGAGCAGGGGTGTGAAACATACAGCCCGCGGCCCAGAACTTGCCCACCAGATGACTAGGCTAAGGCAGAATTTATGCTTCTATGCTGAATCGACGCCGTAGGCTGACATCCACCTCCCCAGATATGTAACTAAACATGGCAGCTACACAGACCTTCCGCCTATTTTTGTAAGCCGAAAACATTTCTCGCAGTGGAAACAAAGCTTTTATTTACTTAAATTTAACAGATAAGAAACAATAAATTGTGAAGACAAAAAAGCCTCCATAAAAATATAACACTTCCGGTCTTGTGTGTGATTTATCCTGGCCTCATGAGCAGAGGAGGCGTTCGCTAGCTGCTAGGCTAATTTATACAGTGTAAAATGCCGCAGGCTTATGCTAATATCGTTAGCATGTTATATTTGTTTGGAAAACGTGTTCAGTATAAGACAGTTGTTTTGTCAGTGAACCTTATGAGTTGTAATGGAGCAGAATTTTGTAACGTTACCTTTGTAAAAATGTTGCTGTTGTCCCTGGCTTCATATGAGTACAAGAAATGTTCGCTAGCTGCTAGGCTAATATATACAATGGAAAATGCCATAGGCTTGTGTTGTTAGCTTGTGTCTGAAATTGTCTCTGTTAAGCCATGTTTAATGTGTGTTTTGGGAGTTTTGAATCATCTAAACTTTACAGCACCTGAACTTGTGCTGTAAAATTAGAGCTGTTGTTATTTATAGGTTATTTTGTGATGGTTTTACTGGCCCAGCCTATCTGAGATCAAGTCAGAAGTTTGACCCCGACCCCCCCCCCCACTTTAGAGCACATTTATAAATAAGATATAAACATAACTGCAATTTGACTTTTCATTTCTTTCATTTCACAGGTGTCCAATCTGAAACCAGTAACCTGCACTGGCTGGACCAGAGGAGCACTGGTGACTGTGGCGCTGGTGGCCGCAGTGACCATTTTCAGTGCACTGTGGATGGAATGGAAAGCCTAAAGGGGCCATAAGCAGGTCTTTAAGGCCGTTATATATTTGATTTTTTTTTTTTTGGCAAATGATGAAAAATATTGCTAATTGATTTGTTTCTGCTGTTTACTTTGGGTTCTCTTTTTATATCACTTTAATGATGTATTGAATTTGATACTGACGGAGCCCCTCAAGTCTTAAACGGTGGTATTTTTTATCTTGTGCTCACAAGTTATTTCAATCAGGAGAGAGTTGTTTTAAGAATATTTATGAACATGTGCACATAAGTATGAAAAATGAAAAGTCTTTGGCAGTTAAACCCAATCGAGATGGTATGATTTAAGGAGGGTGATGAATTTTGAAGTCGAACAGAATAGACACTGGTGGTGGGAGAGGTGGTGAAGATGAGATGAGATGCGGATGGGATGAGAAGACGGAGAAGTTCTGATGATCTGGATGAGTAGAGGAATGAGCCTTTGTTGGGATGGGAAAATCGGATGGTGTACATTACACCTGTATGCTTTTTTAAAATTAATGAATTAATTAAGATAAAAATATCACCTTTCAGGACCTTAGGGACTCCATACTATATGAAACAGGTTTAAAAAAATGCTGTAAAATTTTTCAGGGCATGTGGAAATTGTTTAAATGGGTTTTACAGTGTTGCCCAGGGGGTTGGCCAGCATATTGTAGCAGTGACATGTTGGTTCACACTTGTATTAATGTCAACAAGCATGTTACCCGTGTATGGACTGTTGCTGGCCTGCAGTCTTTTTGTACCCTGATTAGTTTCTTACTGGTGTAAGAAGCCAAATTTTTTTTACAAATGATATGTAGCCTGGCTTAATGTAAGATGAAGGGAGCTGGACTTTCTGTTTCAGATTTAAACATGCTTTTTCATGTGATGCTAATAAACAAGATTTGCAAGAATGACAAAGGTTTGTTGTCTCATTCATTAAAAAACATTTTTTTTAATTACTTAATAATAATTATAATACACAAACAAGACCATAAGAAGCAACCACAGGAGCTCACAGGTTTAGCAGGGCTTGCTGGTCACGTATGTCCACACTGAGGCCCATTTTTTGACCTCCACATGTCCGTGTTATCAGTCCTCCTCCTCATCAGTGGTGACATCCACATGTGTGTACGTTGTGAACGCCTTCCTGTTACACTTTTGAAGCATGGCACCGAGCTGCTTTCCCGGGCCGACCTCATAGGTGTGTGGGAACTTGGTTCCCTGAGTCCTCTCGTAGATCTCGTGCAGAGTTTGCTCCCACTTCACCGGCGACACCAGCTGCTTCACCAGCTGCCTGCGCACGTGGCTTGCGTTCATGTAGCGTTTGCCGTCCACATTGGAATACACGTTGATCTCGGGACGCCGGACCTGAATGTGAGAGAATGCTAGGTGTTAGATGATAAGTGCTCAAATGGTCAACGTTTGCAACTTTTCCAAGGGCTGAACAGTTGAGGTTATAAATTTTTAAGTGAGATGTGGAGGAAATTAACTGATATTAGAGGGGCTTTTTTGTGCAAATCAGTTGGTTGATGATGTTGGTTTGTTTCAGGGCTGGAAGGTGCGATTATTTTCATTATCATTTAGTCTGCCAATTGTTTCTTCAATTGATAAATGAACAATTTCTCTATAAAATTAGGGGAAAACAGATTTTTTTAGTTTACCGTCAATGACAAAGAAAAGCATCAGATCCTCTCGCAACAAATGTTTGTATTAAAAGTGACTATTATGATTTGTCGATTATCAAAATAGTGGTTATTTACTGATGATTCTTTAGTCGATTGATCAATTAATCAGATAACTGTGTTTTCCGACCTTTTTCTGTGGGAACCTCTGATGTCAACACACACTGACATGGCAGTTCAAGGCCCCCCCCCCCCTTTATAAGAACAGGAACGCAACTATGTTCTCATCCAAAAAAATATTTAAAGCACAAAGATTATTGTCCAGCAACAAAATGAAGTCTTCCCTTACATATCAGACATTTTAAAGATTACAAAATGCATGTTGATGTCTAAGCAAACAGTCATCGCGTAAGTTAAATTAGCGCTCTTTTCAGATGGTTATTTTAGAGCAGTTCCTCAAAAAGTGTGTGCCCTGAGCAAGAATTCTTCATTTACATTTTTTACAGTACATTTTCTAATATTGTTTTGCCATATAAAACAAGGCAACATAATAACCAGGTAACAAGGCATTGCATATTTCTTATGGACATGCTCATACTGCATTATAGACATGACATTTAGTGAAAATGTTACTGGCAACCTTTACTTTAACTTAAATGATTATATTACAGATTATTTTTCACTTTTCAATTACTTTCTGGATTGATTGATTAGTTTTTGGTACATAAAATGCCCAAAAATTTGTTTTCCAAAGCCCAAGTTGGTGATTCATTTTTCATTTGACAACTAATTATTTAATCATTGCAACTCTATTAAATTACATTTCCAAACATAGGAATTGAAAGAAATGAGCAATAAACATGGAAATCATTATATTAAAATGATTGCTGGTGTACTGCAACACACTTTCACGCTTTCAAGCATTTAAGTTTAAATGTCAGTGTATGAGATGCCATCAGAGCAAGAAATGGACTATGTGAATATTTCCTTTGCACATGTGTGAGTGTTGTGCGGGCAGGGTTGGGCATGGGAGGAGCGCCATGTAAAGAAAACACCACAAAGGGCTACTGTGGCTTTAAACAAACAGTTTTGACTGACCTCCACCTGTCTGAGCACCTCCCTGAGAGGTTCAGTGGCCGACTCCATCAGCTCAGTGTGGAAAGCCCCGCTGACTGGGAGAGGTTTGCTCCTCACAAACTGGAGACGTCGTGAGTTTTGCTGGAGGAAGTCCAGAGCCTGGGAACACAACAACAGGTATTATTAAACGGATTATCGCAAGAGGAGTCTGAGACAAGACTGTATCACTGTAATTTTTTAATTTTTTCACGTGGTAAATATCAGACTATGTGGTCATATCTGTTTCATACCTGTTGGTGCCCTGCGATGACCCTGCCATCAGGGAACAGATAGTTGGCCACAGAGCAGACTGGCGCCTTAATCCCCAGGCTGCTGCAGTGCTCTTTAGCCTGCACACAGGCGAGTTTGTACTGAGCCTGTGGTCTACCCATGACCGACAGCATCCCACTGGGAACCAGCTCTGATGCCTTCTGCATGGCCTCTGCACGAACCTTCACCGCATACAGTGCTAGAGGACACAGAGAAGGGGTGAATACCATAGAACATGTGAACTAACATCACCACACACACAGTGCTTTAACTGAACATCTTTGTCAGGTTTACCTTCTGCATAGTTCATAGCACCAGAAAAAACCAGGGCAGCGAATTCTCCAACGCTGAAACCAGCAGCAGCGACACACGTCTCAATGGCCTGTGGACAGAAGTGTGAAGAGTCATATAAGAAAATGTTCCTGAGGTGGTTCCTGTAACCGTCTCTGTCCTCCTAAACTCCTCCTCTCTGCCACTTTATAGCTCTACTCCATCTAGGGGTGTGCTGAACTATTAATATTGTATACAGAATCTGAATCTCACTCTGAGTTACTGTTGTTGTTCACAAACTAAAGAAATGAGAGATTGTTTTTACTTATACTGCAGTAAAGATCAGTCACCTTGGGGTTTTCGTGGTTGAGCCTCTCCACAGCAGCCAGGGAGGTGACAAACACCGCCGGCTGACAGTGAACCGTCTTCATCAGCTCCCCCTTGGGTCCCTCCAGGCACAGAGACAGCAGGTCGTACCCGAGGATCTTGTGAGCCACCCTGAACATGTCCTTAACGTTAGGGTACCTCAACAGTCCTCTACCCATGCCCACAAACTGGCTGCCCTGGCCGGGGAAGAGGAGCACGGAGCAGTCCCGGGGGTCTTTCCTGGGTCTCCGCTGCTCCACCGGCTCGCTGTCCGGGAGAGGAGCGGCGGTGTCGGGCGGAGGGTGGGGAGTTCCATCCGGGGAGCCGGGCTGGTTGGTGGAGAGAGTCCTGCTGAGAGAGACCAGAGACCTGACCCTCCCTCTGGAGACTGCTGTCCTCCTCACAACTAATGATGCCAACATGGCGGCTTTAATGATGTCTCACAGGGTTAAAACAAACCCATAATCTGCCCGGAAAACCTGTAATTAATGAACAAAAAAGTCAGGTTTGTTCCTAACGGTCAGCATGAGCCAGTACTGAGAGCCGCCATATTGATAGAGGTCACCAGGGGTGAATTTATTTTCCTTCCGGGTCATTTCCGGTTTTGTGTTCTGCAGTAGCGCCACTCTCAGGTCACAATATGTAATGATTTTACTGACTAAATTAAATTAAATTAAATTAAATTAAATCAAAATATAAAAATAATAGATATTTGAAAATGAATAAAACAAATTCTATTGTCAACCATTTCATGATTTATTATTATTATTAATGATAATAATATTATTTATTCATTATTTATTTTTGATATTTGATGAAAATTATTTATTTCTGTATATATTCCTAAAAAAAATACCAAAACAAATATTTTTTTAAGTATCCCATAAATAAGCTTATTAAAAAGCTGTGACAGGATACTGAGTGCGGTATTTTACTGTTCAATCGTAATAATATTGTTTAATACTGTTTCTTACTTATCGCAACAATATATTAATATCAGAAATATACACCAAAACAGAAATATCTGTGATGAGCTCTTATCAGCTGATAATATTAGTCTGCTGATTGGTCTGGCTCCACCGCTTCATATGTTGTATTATTATTAAAATAATACATAAAGATACAGTACATAGAGTCTTGTTAAATGTTACATTAACCTACATTTATGAAAATGTTTATTACTTTCATAGCTTGCTGTGAGTTCAGTTATCAGGTTACAACATGCAGTAGAAGAGTGACTGAATTTTAAAATTAAAATCAGCATTAAGGAAGTCTACAATAATAGTTTTGTGGGTGAGAGGTTGCAGTAATGTGTTGCCCAGTAAACAATAAAGAATACCAGAAATTGATGTTTTATTATTCACCAATAAACTTTATTGTACAAAACTGTAAATCTCACTTGATCTTAGTCAAATGTGTTTTCATTAAATCCTGCATCACACTGTGTTTGTCATCCTTGCTCTCCATCTTAGTGTGCATTTCAAAATATAAATATAATACAACACTTTTCTGCACAGATTCTTTTGTGTAATGTAAATATTTTCTTTCCTTGTGCTCTCAACTCTTGGTCTTAAACAAACAAAGAATTTTTATCATTCACTGATCACATTTGTCCGTTGGGTTTTCCCTGCGATTCGTCTGATCCATCCGACAGGTTGGCGGCCTCCAGCTGCTCCTCCAGTGTCTTGCCGTCTTCAGGAATCTGGCTGTTCTGTTCAGATCTTATGTTGTATTTAGAGATGAACTCGTTACTGGCCAACGCTCCTTCCTTTTTGGGACACTTGCGATTTGATGATAGGCGATGTTCCATACGTTCTACAAAAAAACAAAAAACAAAACATTGACAATAAAGTTTGATCTTCTGCATTTTGATTTACATCTGAATCCAGATGAACATTAGAAAATATTTTCTATTATTACTGCATCCTTAAATTTATATCCGCTCTCTATATGATTTTTTTGTTCCATTATCTGTACAGTTAGTAAAAATAAACAAATGTAAGTTCATACTTAACTAAGTATTATTATTTTACTACGGAAAAAGCTTTACCTTTTTTTAGGATCTAAATAAAATGATATAAATCTATTCTACACAGTACATAGCATCATTATGGTGCTATTTATCAGAGACTTAATAAGAAAATAAAACACCATTAACTTTAAAATATTCCAATTTATTGTTTACTCTGCTGGATAAAGCTACACAGACAACCAAAAGGGGTTGTACATCTGATTAAAAAAGTACTGTATAAATAAAGTTATTAATATTTTTATTACCTCTGGAGCAATAGAGAATTTTTTCTCCTTGATATTTCAGTATGGTGCATATCCCTGACATTGGGGTTTAATTCAATTAAAAGCTGCTGTGTTGCCCTTTAATCAGACCATAACAGACCAGATTAAGATCATACTGCACCTCCAGGACTGATAGGTTTCATCAGTCGGTTCAGCTGGACGTTCCAGTGTCGTACGTGTTGACTGGCGTATCTCAGCTTCTCCTGTACCTCCTGGAATAAGAAAATCAAACAAGTCATTTCTCATGAGCGTTTTTTAAACATGCTTACATGCACACTAAGCCGATCCAAACACACTGTGCTTTTCTTACCTCCAGGCGCTGGTGGCTCCTTTGGCGAGAAGCCTGCAGGTCCTGGAGCTCCTGAGAGGCAGAGTGAAGAGCGGAGGGAGTTTCCTCGTCTGGGCTGCCGTCTGAGGCCTCCAGTATGGGGCTGAGGCACTGCAAGGCCCTCTGCTGCTCCTGGAGGAGCTGGAACTGCTTCTTCTTTGCTTCTTCTGCCTGCAACAACCTGGAAAAGAGAAGTAAGAATAATAATCAAGTAACCACTAATGTCTGTGTAGTTTGATTTGGTTTAGAGGAATGGTTTTTAGACTGTGAGACACACACATATTTTTAGCTTCAATGTGACTTTGATGTTCATCCCCATGGGCAGATTATGAGACAATGGGCCCCTGGGCACAGATATGCAGAGGGCCCCACCACCTCTCCAAGACTGTGTGGTGGTTTTGCCTCTTTTTTTGTAGTTTTGTGTCTTTGTGGTCGATATACATCTTTTTGTGGTTTTGTGTCTCTGTGGTAATTTTGTGTGTCTCCTTGTTGTAGTTTTGCATCTATTTAAAGTAATTTTATGTCTTTTTGGTTGTTTTGCGTCTCTTTGTTGTCATTCTGTGTCTCTTTGTTATCGTTTTGAGTCTCTTCCCAGTTGGTACGTGTTAATTTGATGACATTTTACTGACTTTGGACCCCCAGGCCTCTGCCCAGTAGGTCCGTTCAGTAATCCATCCTTGCCCGTCGCAAAAATGTCCATGAATGCAATTAGGAATCATAGGAAAAAAGTTGCTCCTTATAACAAGAGAACTTGCCTGAAAATTGTCAAGTTTTTAAGTTTTCTTCAGTATCACAGCAAACCAGTAACATTTGTCTGTACGTCCATGAGTACATTGCAAACATCCATCCATCTGCTTATCCGGGGCTAGGTTGCGGGGCAGACCCAGAGCAAGCTGGAGGGATTACGTATCTCATCTGGCCTGGGAACGCGTTGTGGTCCCCCCAGGAGAAGCTGGAAGATGTTGCTGCCCCCACGACCCTGCCTCGGATATGCTGATGAAAATGGCTGGATGGATAGTAATTCACTAATAATGCCCCCTCAACACAGTGCTGATGTAACTCTCCTTTATCCAGGCCTTTACAGATATTTGCCCTGCGTTGAAAATCTATAGATATAAAGCGAAAAAAAGTCATTCATTTAATTTCCCTAACCGCTTATCCTGTTAGGGGTCGCAGGGGGGCTGGAGTCTATCCCAGCTGACATTGTGTGAGAGGCAGAGTACACCCTGGACAGGTCACCAGACTATCACAGGGCCGACACATAGAGACAGACAACCATTCACACTCACATTCACACCTACGGACAATTTAGAGTCACCAATTAACCTGCATGTCTTTGGACTGTGGGGGGAAGCCGGAGTACCCTGAGAAAACCCACACTGACACGTGGAGAACATGCAAACTCGGCACAGAGGGGTAGAGAGGGACCACACTGTCAGACTTTGAAAACATCTGGTTAAGAGTGTAATGGGAGTACAGTGGGTGTGTTTGTTTATCACCTCTCCAGCTCCTGTCTGGCTCTCTCCTCCTCCAGTCGCGCCTGGATCTCCATGTTGAGAGCAGCCTCCAGTTTCCGCTGCGTCAGCTCCAACTCCTGGATCCTCTTCTTCTGCTGCTCGGCCTCTTTTTCCTTCTCCTGCATCTCCGCCTGCATGCTGTCTCTCAACTAGGAGGACACACACATATATATATACACACACACACACACACACACATGAGGTGACCTATTCCTGAATCACTTTTTCCAGGAACGCCATTACCGCTCCTCCACCACTAAAACTCACTGACTTTTATAATGCCAGTGTTATTGTGCTGTTTTCAGGACTCTGAATCCCATTTCAGTGAAATGTAAATAAACGTATTCGTCTGTAAAACCTACCGTCTCGGCCTCCTTCAGCTGTCTCTCCAGCTCCATCTGCACCTCCCTCTGTCTCCTCCTTTCTTTCTCCTCTGCCTCCCTTCGTTTGGTCTCTAACTCGCGTGCGTGCTGCAAGACACAGATAAATGTTAAAGGTTAAAGGTTAAAACTGAGCTGCGACTACATTAACCATCCCACCACTGATTCTCACCTGTATAATACTTTCTATCTCTAAATCCTGTCTGTCCTTCTCTTTCTCCATCTTCTCAATCTCCTGGAAACTGGAGTCATCTGATTGGCTGCTGCAGCTGCTCCGACTGCTGCGGCTGCTCCTGCTGCGCTCCCGGTGGCTGTGTTCCCGCTGCATTCGCCTCCTCAGTTTGAGTTCTTGGTGAAGGGAGGACTTGCCCTCGCCCTGGAGACGGAGGGCTGTCTGAATAGCTGGAGAGGAGGCAGAAAGACAAACTGTATCTCATCCCATGACGATGACACCTTGGGCTCTGGGAAACTGTAAGAAAATTTAAAAAGATCTACAGGCAAATGATTTTATACCACTGCCACTGTTTGTTTAACTTTGAAAACCCCAATAAAAAGAGTTGGACAAAAAAAGATCTACAGACCCATTTTTCGGAAATAATAATAAATAAAAATAAATACTTGTAGCCCTACTTTAATTTGATCTTTTCTACATTTTCTTATTGAATTGTCAAACCCTCCTCACCATACCACCATCACCATGACCAACACCCATCAACAACCATAAAAAAGAGGAACAAACTCAACAAACAGGATGTTACTCATGTGCTCAGTGACCACAGATAATGTTGCTGTTAACAGACAGAGCTGTGATAACTACCATCATTGAACAGATAAAGACAAACTTCATACACTCAAACTTTAACAAGTCCAATATGAAAAAGAACATCAACAAGTGATGTTTAGGATGTGCAGCAAACACCAAAAACAATGAGTGTTTGACACCAAACATGTCACCGACATCATAAGACATGAACATAAATTTATGCAAAAGAATAGTTTGACATTTTGGGAAATACTCTTACTTGCTTTGTTGCAGC